TGAAGTGATCAACTAAAATATGGTCATCTGTTTCTCAAATGCATTCTACTTTTTTCTAACATAAGAAGGAAACACTAGTTTGTCACTGAGCAAACAATCCTCTTCCTAAATTTCTGGATTTCTAAATCTAGGTAATACTAGACTAGATCATTAACACAGTACCAAGCATGACTTTATTTCTATTAGTTGGTGTTCACATCCTTGTCATTTTCCTCCCTGAAATCTCCCACTGTCTTCAACTTTCATTACTGCAAACACCTCACAGTTCACAGGTGGCAAGCTGTTCACTAATGTTAATTTCATCACTTGTTTACAGTGAATCCATCCACTTTTTAAATCTGATTAACAAACCAGAAGATACATCACAATTATCTTCCATTCTAAGAGCTTCAAAAAATGGCTATAATACATGCCTGTACTAATCTGTTGAACACAGACTAATACAATCTATGCATTAAAATCTGCTAATTTTCTAAAAACCTAAAATAAACACTGTTAGTCGTTTCCCCATACCCTTCTGTACGATTATGTTATTCATTTGTAATGTAGCTACATATATACACATATTTCTTAGCCGGGTCCACTGAGAGGGGCTAGGAGGGATGAACCTGAGTAGCAATATACACAATTAAGGCCCAAACAGTTTCTAAACACTGTTCTCCAATAAAAGGAACTTGGGCTTTTCAAGCCATCCTCCAGCAGGTCTGTAGCAGGGAAAATATAAGGTAAGACTGGAACACTTTCTGGTGCTAGAAAGTAATAAAATGCTGAAAAAATGATGGGCTATAAAAGAACACAGAAGCCAACCAGAACGAGCTCCTAATGGCTAAAGCTGAAACAATCTGAGCGACAAAATAAATGATGATAGCAGTGGACTTTAATCCATGGAACCAGATAAATATCCATGAGTCCATACTGATTGAAATAAATACTCAAATGAACAAATGCTAGAGATGAGTCAGCTCTTCCTCACAGTAGAATCCCAATTAATAAACACAGAAGGAAAGAGAGAAACAGAGAACCACCATTAGGCAAACATACAATAATAAATGTTACAGATAAGATCCACAGATCAACACTAATATGAGTGGGCAAAAATTTGAGGAGATTCAGGATTTACAATCTCAAAGTATCTCCCCCAAGACATTTATCAACTACAAATAGAAAGATAGTAACTTCAGAGAAGAGAAACCCCACAGACATAAACTTAACCAAGCCATGAAGGTAACTATCACTAGTAAGTAACGAAACATATCATTATCATAAATTTCTTGAGAAGACACACCAAGAAAGACACAATGGCATTTTTGTGGCACTTTTTCCAAAAATACATAAACCTATTCCAATGATGAGAAATCATCAGACAAACCCAAACTGAGGGATACTCTACCAAAAAACCTGATCAGTACTCTTCAAACATGTCAAGGTCATGAAGACAAGAAAAAACTGAAGAACTGTTACAGACTGGATGAGACTAAGGAGAAATAATTAAATACAATGTGAGATTAGAAATAACATCCTGGGACAGGAAAAGAGCATTATTAGCGGAAAAACTGGTAAATTTCTAATAAAGTCTATAATTTAGTGATTATACCAATGTTACTTTCCTGTTGTTAACTGTACTATGTTTTCTTTAAGTATAAAATTCGCTTAATTTGTAAAAGTTTAAAAACAAAACTATTTTGTTCCAACCCTTTTCCTCAAATTTTAATGTTCTCATTTATTTTCCGGAGGCTACTTTATAGGTGTAATTCTACACTTACATTCCCTACTTTGTTACCTAACTACACATCAAGATTTACCTTGCCTATGGGTATTTTTTAGAGTCACATGGAAAAATAAAGCAGGTAGACTGGCAGCACCATGGAAACAGTATAGATTTTGGAATCAGACAGACCTAACTTTGTCATTTATTAGCTGTGTAACCTTAGCAAAGTTATTACACTTCTAAGTTTCCTGTAAAACGAATTTAACATCACCTCAATCACAGAGCTATTAAAGTACTAAGTAAGATAATATATTAAAATCCAGGATAATTCCTGGCACATAAGAAATAAGAGCTATTATTACCAGTACACTTTTTTTTAAGAAAACAGTGAGGTTAATCTTACTTTGGTGACTCTTTCATTGCATCAGTATGAACTGGTTAATTATCTGTTTCCAAATGTGATTAATTACAAATTTTACCACTGTTAGCAGGCAAATAGGCCACTCCCAAATAAAGTCTACTCAAAAGCTACTGCTGAGTTTCAACTATTTAGTTCAATACTCGTTGACAAACGAAGCATTCCCTAGATATAGCAAACACAATGCTTCGTGCCTGAACAGATACGAGGATTTATTTTTTTAATTTTTTTTTAGTTTTCCATTGAGAATGCAGAAGATAAAGAAAAGCTCTGTTCAAAAAAAGAAAAGTTACTTGTCATTTGACTTTTTCTATCAGGATAATCATATAAAGAAAATCTAAAATTAAAGTCATATATAAAAAAATGCCAAAATGGTTTAGAAATAGATTCTAATAAGCTAAAAGTTGTTTAGAATCTGCAAAGGACATAATCTTTAGTAGCAAGCAACCTAAAGTCCACTTCTTTTGGGGGCTCAATAAAGCATATTGTTTGTTTGGCTCACTACTCCTTAAGGTGGTATTTCTGCAACATTAAGGTCTTCAACAGGTGCTGTGAATGCAATGAAAAATGGAGTAAGCATCTCTAATTCTTACTATTCTATACAATCTTACTATTAAAAGAAATCTTCATGATTATCTAGTAGAAGCTACCAACCACAGCAGGAATATCCATTACAATATCACCCCCAGAAGGCTCTCATCTCCTTTATTTTTTCTGAGGAAGATCAGCCCTGAGCTAACATCTGCGCCAATCTCCCTCTATTTTATACGTGAGACACTGCCACAGCATGGCTTGATAGGTGGTGCATAGGTCCGCCCCAAGATCCAAACTGGTGAACCCTGGGCTGCCAAAGCACAGCATGCAAACCTAACCACTACACTATTGGGCCAGCCCACTAATCTGCTTCTTGAGTTTTTTGCATGCATATGATGTGAGGCAGGACAGAGTCCTCCACATGGCTGCCTGATTAAAGACCCAAATTTCTTAAGTAGGTCTAAAGAAGGTAAACAGTAGGTTCATTTAAAGGCTTTAGATAAAGTTTGATCCCTGTCAATTTTTCACTTGATTCTAAACTTACTAGGGAGAGTAATATATTAAATGCTTCCCTTATAAACATTAAAATTGGCACACATACAAGGGAACCCCAAAAGATATGCACAAGGAAATTCATATGAACATCAAATGAAAATGTGGGGTAAACAAGCTTCTTCGTGTGTCTGCAGCTGATGATATTCACAGATGAGTGCACACATGATAGTGTCGTGACTGGTATGGGCTAAGCAGAACTGTGCATCTGACTTCAACTAAGCATGGCCTGGCCACTGATGGTACTGCAGGTATGGCTGAGGCACTGATTATATTATTTAATTTTTTTAAATTGCTTTTAGTTATACAGGCTTTTTAGACATGAGCAGGTAGAAATTTTTTTGTCCCTTCAGCTTCGTTTCTCAATAAAGACTACAAGCCAGAGAACGAAACTAAAAAGTTGGTTAAGTTCATATGGGTCTTAGAACACTAGTATGTGAATGTCCAGCCTTTAAATTGTCAGAATTAGCCCTAGATCAGTTGACCTAATTCTGTCCCTCTCTCTCTTAATTTTGCTCTCAAAGAGCAGCTCTTAGATTCATGTGACTTGTCCAAAAGCTTCTAGAGTCACTATCTTAATAATGTGGTCTCAAGTAGTTTCTGGGACTGATAAGGACATAAATCTAATCAAAGCTGTAGATGTCAAGATTTTATCTGAGTTCAACAAAGATGGCTGATGGATTTTATCCAGTGAACAGTTAAAGGGCCAGGTTCCTTATTACATAGGGCATAAATCACTTTCTTAGGCTGAGGCAGAAGAAAAACTCAATGGAATTATTACAAATCCAAAAGCCAAAAGGGAAATTTAAAAGGCCTCTGTGTCAAACACTAGCTTTAAGCACCTGTTTGCTCAGTCTCAAGAACTAAATTTGTTTAAAAAAAGATGACACACATAATAACAGGGGCAGACTTGAAAAAAATTTAAAAAGTAAAAGGTCATGTTGATTAAGATGGAAGAAGAGAGGGACTTCTTTAAGAATAAGTCCACTCTTAAAAGTTAGACTAGACGGATATGAAAAAAGGAAAAGGAAATATATACACCAGAACCATGTGTTCTTAAAGACAGAATTAGGAGGAAAAGTATTTTAGTTGTTCTTCCTTAGGAAGGAAGGGTTACTGGTTCCAAAGGGCTCTAACAGAGGGACAGAGGGTAACCGCAGGATGGAAATCTCCGAGTGAACCAGACTAGAAATCCACCTGTGACAAGATGCTCCTTTAGAGACACAGATGAAGTCCATAGTAAGAGCAAGTGAAAAGACATACCCTGAAGACTAAGACTGCTATAGAAGGTAACATAAAATCTGTACAGATCTAAAAGATTAAAAAAGCTGGGAGACTACCTTAAAACACCTGAAGCATTTCAGGTGTATTTCAAACTACTAGTTATTACAGATTGCAATGTATGGTATGGCATGGTACTGCAAAGGAAAGTGACCCAGGAACTCAAAGTTAGGCCTCAAGGAGTGAATAAGGAAAAGTGACACTGAAAAACAACAAAATAAGAGGTCAGTTGTAGGTTTGATGTTGAGCTGGTTAGATTTTCTTATGTCAGGGAGATGAGAGTGGACAAAATCTGTTTGATTTGATGAATGCTTTTTGATGAACCCAGAATTCCTTGACTTTTACCTCTGACATGGGAAATCTTACAAGAGATCATGAAGAACATGAAGGTCTGTGCCCAAAAGCAAAGAGAAAGCAGAAGGAAGACAGGAGGGGCCAACTTAATAACAGCCTACAATGTAAACAAAAATAAAAACCAGCTATGTTTATCTGAAACAGCACATCCTACACTGCTGAAAGTGACAAAAATGAACGTTTGCACTGCCAATGAAGTCAAGCAAATTAGGCACGGCTAGAATAGTTAAAAGCAAAGAAAAGGTCCAGAGGAGCAAGTGTCAGAAGAAATACTGTCTTCACTGGGCTCCTCTGAGCACACATGCCAGAATCATCAAAAGCAGGTCATTGTAGGTACCTGTTTACAGTTATTAGCAGAATAACACAAACATGGGGCCAACAGGAATGCTCCTATGATTTTAATTCAGTGGGACCAAGAATTCCAGGGGCAGCGGCAACAGCCAAGGTAGCACAGGACTAAAAATGTTTTGGCACAAGGTTGAAGACGGAGAAATCCAGAGACAAGGGCTGAACTCAGGGGCTGTGGAGACTGCAAGGCTGGAGTCTTATGCAGAGTGTTCGGGTTAAGTGCTCCCACCCCTCAAAATAATATGTTAAACATACAGTGGCACAATTAACCAACTGACGAAACCCCAATAAAATTTAAGTACAAGTTATAGACTCTGGCAATGGGCACAACTGACTGATACCCTGGTGACGTTGAAACCAAAACTAACTGCAACTCTGCGTTCTGCAGACCCATCTTCCCTCTGATATCACTAAATCCTACTGGCAAAAGTAATGTGAGTCAACTGTACCATATACTACACTCAAGGAATTGCTGGTGTTTCTAAATTTAACGGGAGTTGGGCTGGTGGAGTAACAAACATTTGCTCTACTGCTCTTCTGGATTCTTGAAAAAGACCCAAAAGAGACTGGGGTTAAGTAACTCATTTAGGGGTGAGAAGGAAGCCACTCTCAGTTGGAGGAAGACAACCCAAGCTACAAATCCTGAAAATTCCCCAGCTCTAACGACAGAGGCACACTGAGACCCACTGGCTCTGATTAACCAATTTTCTGGGAAGGGAGGAATTCGGGATCTTAACCTCTGTGAACTCTAGACTAATTTCTCTTTGTGAACTTGATAATGAGAGACAACTCATTTGATCAAATTGGACACATTATTACTTTTGTTGACATTTGGTCCCCTGTCCCCAAATTAAAACCTGAAAGGAAATTTTAAATTTAAAACTATCATAGGTAAATTAACTCTCAAACACAGAAGCATCCTCCCTTAAAAAGAAGTCTTATATTTTAAGTACTGAAGAATTGCTAAAAAGGGAAAAGAAATTATGGGTTCTCTATTTCAACAAACTTTATCATCAGTTACTTGAAAATGCATTGTTCTTAAATGAGGATGAGTATCCTCAAGATTAATAAAAATGTCCACTGTGGCTAATGATTAATAATTTCTGTTCTTTTTTTTAGAATCCACTAACTCTTCATACTTAATAGCCAAAATTCTACTGTTAATTTAGATCCCTTAACTGTTCCTTCTACCTTTTACTGTTAATATTACCACCATATTCCCAGATCTCTGGACTACACCCCAACGCAATTTCATAAAATTCTTTGGGCCTTGTCTCTACATTCAACCAGATACTACATAATTTATTTCCATATTTCTTTAAACTGTTCCTGTCCCTACATTTTCATTGCCACTACCCAGCCAGGCCCTCAATTACTCCTTTTCTGAAATACTCCAATAGTTTCCTTTTTATGTCTAGGCTTTCATTCTTTACCTCCTCTAATCTATCTTAAAGCAATTATTTTAAGATTATTTAATAACAGCACTTCTTTGCCCTTAAACATACAAATCCTCCTACGAAATTCAAATTCCTAAGTCAGGCTCTGGACCAATCCATTTTTCCAATCGTAATACCTACCAATACTTTTCTGAGTATATGTTCTAGTTCAGTGGTTCTCAAACTTTAGTAGGAGAATCACCTGGAAGGCTTGTGAAAAATACACATTGCTAGGCCCCAGCCCCAGTTTCAGATTCTGTAGGTCTAGTGTGGGGCCAAAAATTTGCATTGCTAATAGCGTTCAGGTGAGCTCGGGGGAATCCCTTTTAAGAAGCACAGCTCGAGTAATTAACTACTCCCATTCATAAAAACACCTTGCCATCTACCTTTTCACAAATTATCTGCTCCACTAATATCCTCCTACCCATATCACTTCCTTTTTCATGCCTATATTTTAATACTAACAATTTTTTAATACTCAATTCAAACATCTCATCTATTAAAACCTTCCCAAATTCTGTTAGGAGTAGTCTCTTCAGGTGAACTTGCAGAGGACTTACAATACATCACATTAGTGGCACCGATCACCATTTCCCTGTTTTAGAGTTTATTTGTATTTACCCGTTCATTTATTCAGACCTTAATGAGTGCTTACTATGTACCAAGTACCCTATTGCTTTTATTTTTAGTGGGAGGAAAACAAGTAAACAAATATAAATTAAATGGTGTTAAGTACCCTGGAAAACAATAAAACACAAGGTAAGGGGAAAAGGGAACACTGGAGGCGGGATGCTACTTTACACTTTATCTGAGATGCTCAGGGAAGGCCTGTCTCTCTGATAAAAGGATATTTGAGCAGAGTCCTGGAGCGAACCACACAGATATCCAAATGAAAACTGTTTCTGGCAGACAAAAACAAAAGCCCAGTGCAAAGGCCAAGGGGCAGGAGAGTACTTATTCAAGGTGCAGGAAGGGCAGAAATGCTGGGATAGGTGCAGGTAAGTAGTGGAGGCAAAGAGTAAAGGAGCCAAGTCAAAGAGCTGGACAGGGCAGGCTCAGGAAGCCTGCAGTCCACTGTAAGGATTCTGGCTTTGACTCTGAGATGGAGAAAGCATGGAACATTTAGAAGAGATCTCACTCATGTCTTTAAAAGGATCACTTCGGGAGTGTGGAGAATAAAATGAGAAAAACTGGAAGCAGGGAGATAAAGTAATCCAGGAGAAAGATGACTGTGGTCTGGATCAAGGTCCTAAGAGCCGGCTCAGTAGTCAGACACGCCTTTTCTCCCCTACTCGAATCGGCTCCCTGAGGGCAGGACTTGCGACTTTTTCCTCCTTAAATGCCCTATAATCACTAGGATGAAGTTTTTCACATAGTACAAGTCTTTCTTTCAGGAGTACGTTCTAGATACTTTATGTGTCTAGATCTACACCTGAAATAATTCAATTGACTGAGATTAAAAAAAAGCAAGTTATATACTATCAGACACATATGCAGCATTTTATGAGCACCTATAAAATTATGAGTACTCAATAGTTGCTGAAGTTAATTTCAAAACATAAAACAGAGGACAAAGAATCTTAAGAGTTAAAGGACAAAATGGCTTCAGTTAACATATAAAGTTTTTAGGAAACTATAAGTAGAATAATTTCTTATTTTTTTCATAAAATCAAGAGTTAAGAAGGGGCTGCATGATAAGAATTAAGTGCCAAGGCGGCAACTAAAAATTGCATACCACTCTTAACTTTATCAACACAGGATGACGGGTAGGAAATCAATAAGAAAGGATGAATGAGTTTCAAGATTCTCACAACTCAGTTCTACCTAATTTTTAAAAAACTTCCTCCCCTCTTGATTATAAGTTATGTATACCCACTGTAGTAAATTTGAGTAGTATATTAAAAAAATCATCCATCGTTGTACTGCCCACGTACAACCACTATTAACATCTCAGTATATTTCCCTTTTCTAGCTGTGTGACTTGAGGGTAGTTGCTTAACCTCTCTGAGTCTCAGCTGCATCATTCATAAAATGGCGATAAAAATAGTACCTATCTTACACGGTAGCTGCAAAAAATAAATGAGAATGTAGGACATGGGCTGACATACTTTTTCTTAAAGAGCCAATAAGCAGCTTATGGGCCATATATTCCCCACCCCAAGTACTCAACCCTGCTGCTGGATCATGAAAGCAGCCATAGAAAATGTAGAAATGAATGGACATACTCCAATAAAGTTTTATTCGTAAGAACAGGCAGTGCTACTTGTGTCACAATGAATTACAGCAAAGGTTCATAAGGTTCGGGAGTGTCTGGATTGTTGTTGGGTTATGTGTGTTTAGCAAGTTTTGAAATTCTTAAGAGAAGCTGATAAGAATAAAAAACAAAAAAACCTTAAACCTGCTCACCAAGAAAATGCAAATACAACTTTTTGCAAATAATTTCAGAGAGTTAACAGACTTCCTGAAGAACATGAATGGATCCTACAGATTATCGTCAAGAAATCCTGTTTCTAGTGAAGCAGCTCATTTGATTTTTCTTTACAGCACTTCCCCCTCTAAAATCCACATGTGAATACAGTGGGAACGGACCAGTCTCTCTTCAATTGCGTCATCCTGCTACAAACTTTTCCACCTAATTTTTTTTATCATAATATTGTATTTTCCTAGGTCACTGCATAGTCAGTGAAAACATCATTTTCTAAGGCTAAATAATACTTCAGCATATGAGGGTTGAAAAGTTTTCAACTATTTTAGATGTTCTGCTTGCTTTTCCATTTTCAATTCATTCCTTTCATTAATTATAATTAATGCTATGATGAATACCTTTGTGTCCAAATTTATATTTCCTCAGAAGTTAATGCTATAAGGAAAATTACTAAGTCAAAAGAGGTACAAATTGTTTTTAACATTTCTAGTATGGTTTGATGAATTACGGTCCAGAAAGGTTGCGGTGATTTTTACTCCCCCCAGCTGAAAATGAGATATCCATTTCACTGCACCTTCATGAACACAGAATATAAATTTTAGACTTTACTAATGAGTTCTATAACCCAAGAGATATTTGATTTTTTTTTATTGAGGTCACACTGGCTTATAACACTTTGTAAATTTCAGATGTACATTACTATATTTCAGGTTCTGTACAGACCGCATTATGTTCACTGCCCATAGTCTAGGTTTTATCTGTCATCATACATCTGTGGCCCTTTATCCCTTTCGCTCCTCCCACTCGCTTCTCCTCTGGTAACCACTAATCTGTTAACCTGAGAAATCTCTGGCAAGAATTTTCAAAGCATGGTAAAAGGATAGATAACAAAGTCTAAAAATGCACATCTACTGTACTCTGGATTAGTAAGATTTCTGGATATTCAAGGTTAAATTTAAAAAATATGGAGAGACATCTTTAAAATTTAATCATTTAAGATAAACATCCAAAACATATTCTACACCTTCTTGCCTTCAAAACACAATAACCTAATGTCTACTGGTTTGTAATCATCATAACTCTTGCATCTTAAGAATAACCACGACAGTGAGCCACTGCTTGTGAAAGAAGTATATCCCATCCAGGTGGGTTGGAGGAAAAAATAAAAGGGTTGAGGACCACTTCCTTCAGGGAACTTCTGATAGCTTAAATTCTATTTTTTTCTTTTACATCTATGAACATCTTTAGCTTCTGCTGCCTTAAATCTTTTTTAATCACTACTTCTACTCAGTCAATAACTTCTTTAGTATACTATAGTATATATCAAATACATATGCACAGATGCTATAATAGATACCCAATGCGTATTCTTAGATACAATAAAATATATGTATATATCGGAACGGCTAAGTACACATGCTACCATCAGTCAGACTGGCCAGACAGTCCAATCCAACTATCACATAGTAGCCACACTGACTTAACCAAGCGATTTAATCTCTCTCGGTCTTAGTTTTCTGATCTGTAAAAGAAGAATAATGGTACATACCCTGTAGGGTAGTGGATTAAATGAGATAAAATAGGTAAAGGATTTATCACAGTACCTGATACATGAAAAACACTCAAAATTAGTTATATACAGAGCATTCCAATAAAATAAGTAAACCTTCCAAATATTAAAAATCTAACATATACATATGAAATCATTCATTGGCAACAGTGATTAGTGAGTATTTAGAACATTTCAACTTTAAGGTAAGCAAAACAGACACTGGTTAACTTTAGTAGGCTCTAGTTATAGAAACGTATATTGATAAGCTAGGTACATATTTTATTGGGACATTATACATACCCACAAATATACGTATACATTTTCATGGTACACAGAACAATGCTGTGCACCTACCTATTAATAAACCACTTCTCTTCCTTCTCTATCTGTTCTCCTTTCACTTCTCTGTAGTATGTTTTACCACAAATGGAGTCAGAAAATCAGCCTGTCCCCTTCTTTCTCAAAGTCAGCTAACTGATGGATCAATTACAGTGTGTCACTTGACCCTGAATGCATATAACTAATCATGTTCCCCACACCTTCACCCACACAGTCACGCTGCTGGACCAAAGCACAGTCCAGGAGTCACTCCACCTTCAAAATCAGCACACTCAAACGTTTCTGCAGGCCACTTCCATCTGCCCCTCTAAGCAGCTCCATCTTAGACCTCCATGCCCCTCAGATCTCCACCTACTCCCCTGCACTCTCAACAGATGAACTCCCCTCCCACCCTAAAGCTCCTACAGAAAGCAGTCCCTCCATCCGTGCTTTGAATCTTGCCCTTCCTTCGCTTTTCGGAATCTTATTTATAAATTATTCTTTCCTTCTTTCATAGATTTACCGCTTCCTTTCAAATGAATCATTCTCATTAGATTTTAACATGCCAAATTCTCACCTATTTAAAACAAAATCCTCGCCTTCAATCCACAACCTCCCCAGCTTCCACCCATCTTTCCTCCTCCTTTATAAGTCATCTATACTTACTGTCTCTATTTCTCTGGCTCCCACTCCTCAAAGTTCTCCAGTGTGACTCCTGCTCCCATCACTACGCCAAAACAGCCCTGCATGTTAATTCAGTGGTTGAATCGCAACAGCTTTTGATGCCAGGAACTATCCACTCCATCCGGAAACAGTCTTCCCTTGTCTTCTGTGACACTCAGATCCTTGATTTTCTCCAACCTCTTTAGTTAATCCTTCTCAGACTTCATTTAAAGACTCAACCTTACCTCCCAGGTCATTTAACTGTGGAGTTCCTGAAGCTTCACTTCTAAGTGCTCTTCTTTTCCCACTCTATATTATCTCCTATGTGAGCTCCTTCACACATGGCTTCACATACCATCGACACAGCCATGACGACCAGACCTCACCTCTGAGCTCTGGCTCACCTCCAGCTATCTTTAAGATCTCTCCTTGGGTGAGCAAAGGCACCTTAAATTCAACATGTTCAAACTAAACCAAAGAATCTCAGCAGAGCTCAACGTGCCCAAGAATCCAAAAACAGGGGAACCTCATATCAGCCCCATTTTATAGTGTTATTCACCTTTTCTTCACAGAACTTATCAAGGTTCTGACCATACACAAAACAGGGACAGTCCCTGTCTGCTTGCCACTGTCTGCCAAGCGCTTTACAGGACAACAAGCTTCAACCCTGACAGCAACAACTCTTTTCTCCTGGTAAGATGGAGTCAGCCAGCTATCTTCACATTCACTGCTGCTTTAAAGAGCTGAGGGTACTGAGTGTTGGTACAGTGTCAATGCACTGGACTGTAAGGTCTTATGTAATACCATGCAGCTCGGCCTCCTCTCCTATTCAGTGTGCCACCAGTGTTCCACTATGGCTCTCACCAGGTGGAACTGACTGGGTGTCATCCCAGAGAGAAGATCCACATTGAATAGTGGCTGCTCAAACCACGAACTGACCTGCCAGAGAAAGAGGGAGCTAAGAAATCAAGGTGGTAACAATAACACGAAAACTGAAGGTTACACCTAGTATTAGATTGACTAGAAATTACAAAACTTAAAAATACTCTCCAATTTAGATTAGGTACTACTGTCATTGATTTACAACATAACTAGAACTGATATTTGACTAGATAAGTTACTTTAGATTTTAAATGGCCTAATATCCTTACCATTACATATTAATGTACATTTAAAAAGGCATATCAATTGATCGTATTTTACTGATCATATTTCACTTTTTCAAATACCTCACCAGACACATATTTTACCATAACTTTCTTAAATTTAATTTGAAGTTCTCTTTTTTGCTTTTGTTTGTAGTTGTTAAGGTGTAGTTTAGCACACTTTTGCAGGAAAATTGAAAAGACCCCGTGCCAACAACAACAGTACAACTGGTGCCTTACTTCTGTTTGGCAGACCTACAAAATTATGGTATCATTAAAAAACTTAAAAGCAATGAACTTCATTTAAAAATAGTTTCTCCCATCAATTTATCTACATAATTAAAATTGAGATAGATATTTTTTAAACCAATGTGATGGGTGGTTATTAGAAAGCAATAACAGACATATATCTAATGTAAGACTGTATACAAACAAGTTATGTAAGTTTAGGATCTCACTGGTTAACCTAAAATGACCTTCATAAGCTCACTTAACAAATTCTTTTTTTCCCCCCAAAAAAACCATTTCACATACTTTTGAGAAGGAAGGAGTTAAATTTCATCATACTCAAAATAATCTTGGATTTTCTCACAGAAAAGCAATCTGTGAGGAAGGAAGAGAAAAAAATAAAATGTATTTCTTATACTTTATTTTTCTTCTGATTATAAAGGTAGTGGGTTTAATCAAGAAAATATAAAAAAATAAATAAATGTAAAGAAAAAAATAAAATTCAGCTACAAACATATCACTAAGAAGAAAACCACTGTTAACAATTTGGTACATTTCTTTTCAGTCTTTTTCATCACAAAAGTGAAACCACTGTCTCCTGTGTCTTTTCAGTAGTTATTATACCATGAACAGTTTCCCATGTGAATAAATCTTTAAAAACAACAGAGGATTCCATTATATGTAACTACTCCCCTAACTCTAGTCATTCAGGTTATTTTTAATGATTTGCTATTACAAATAATGTCATTATGAACAATCACTACAATTCAATTCTGAAAGTCAACCTAAAAAAGTATCAAACAACAACAACAACAAAGCATTTAGCTCCTCAAATACAGCTATCAAAATCCAGGGTTCATTTTGTTTTGTTTTTCCTAACTATAATAAATAAAATGTCTTTCCATGGAATTCACCTTTTATGAACACTGGAAATGTCCCAAATGTGTCAAACTTTGAAAACCATCTTAAAAAAGGTAACATCTCAATTTGCAATTTAGTGATAAAAATAATTTTGCCAAAAGGAAGACATGACTTCAGGGGATGAAATTACTTCTAGTTCTGACTATGTGCCACAGAGCAGATCAGGAAGCAGGCTGCTCTTTTTCAAAAGTCAATAAATCACTTGAATTATCTTCAACACCTTCCTTTTCATCATCTTTCGTACCTATTATTCTTTATGGAGGTGAGGAACTAATTTGAGACTTCTAGTTAAATACCGCAGATTAAACACACATTTACTTCTGCTCCCACTTGAAAACTTGCCTAAAAAAAACAGTAAAAATATTTTTATTCTAATAGACCTAAACCGACAAGGAAGAAAAAATGAAAACAGAGAGATGACAACATTTGGACAGCTATTATTTAGAAAGGAGAGAACAAGCTGATTTGTGCTGAAGAACCCCAGAAAACCTCAGGAATCTGAAAGGCCACACACCTCTAAAAGAGGAGAGAGAAGTATGGTCAAAAACAGAAAGATGGGAACTCCTAACCCTCTGGAGGGACTCAGAAGTAAAGGGGCAGGAGAGCAAGGGGTCAGAGGGAAGGGAGGGGCTGAGAGAGAACACGGGTAAGATCAAAGTGTATGGTGAGACAGGAAGGTGGTCCCCATCTCCTCTGTCAACCAGGCTAACTGAGCATGCCTACAGTTAGGGGAAAAAACTACTGATAAACATGGAGGGAAACATCATAAGAGCTAACAGAGCTGCAAGTGCCTGCCTCTGGGAAATACATGGGGAAGGAAAGGGACAGAGCATGACCACTGTTTTTTATTACAAGCTGTTGGGGAAAAAGACCCAAAACTGGTTGCCTCTACAATATCCATTCTTGTTGTCTTCCCTCCTTACTAACAGAATCACACACACGTGTTTACTAAGGAAAAAAAATAATACAAAAAAAATTTCCTAACATAATTTTCAGATGGGGATAGCTAACAAGATGGAAGTAGAAGTTACTGAGTAGGATTTAGGGCAAGATGTTTTTGGCTTACCCCAGAGACACACTGTTCCTGCTACTACTTAGAACTCAGATGTGATGCCTGGAACTCTAGCAACTATCTTGGATTATGAGGCAAACTTGAGATGAGAAAACAAGGACGACTGATAAGAAAGAGCAAATGATGGTACAATAATGATAAAGCCACCATATCATCCCTACACTGTCCATTCAACAGTTCTCACATGAAAAATAAATATGTACTACTGTTTAAGCTATTTGTCAGGTCTCATTATTAACAGCAAAACTAAATCCCTGATATTTAAGTCTTCTATGACTTTTTAAACTAAGTACATATAAAACATTTATAAAAATCAAAAGTAAATCAGGGACTGGCCCAGTGGCGTAGTGGTTAAGTTTGCATGCTATGCTTCGGCAGCCCAGGGTTCGCAGGTTCAGATCCGAAGCACAGACCTACACACCACTCATCAAGCCACACTGTGGCGGCATCCCACATAAAATAGAGGAAGATTGGCACAGATGTTAGCTCAGGGGCAATCTTCCTCACCAAAAAAAAAAAAAAGTAAATTAAAAAATAATTCCAAATAATAGCAAGAATTGGTAAAAATGTATTATTATACTCTAAGAAACTACTCAAAGAACTATAAATGTTATGTAAACTCTACGCCAAGACTAAGAGATAAACATCGTATTTTCTGAAAACAAAGTTTAGTTTCTCTAAATAAGAGACATTAGCATGTATTCTATAAAACCATGAGGGAAACCCTTTTTTCTGTCAGACTGTCTCTTAGGCACCTATTAAAGTGTCTGGTACATAGAAGTTGCTTAAAATTATTTCAGGATCATTAAATACTTGTTTCCATTTATAACATTACAGACATAAAGTATCCACTAAGAATTCCAAAATAAAGGTTTCTCAACCTCAGCACTATGTACTGATATTGTAGATCAGATAATTCTTTGTTGTTGGTGGTGTGCTGTGCATTGTATGATGATCAACAGCATCCCTGGCCTCTGCCCAGAAGATGCCAGTAGCAACCCCCAATTAAGTCAATCAAAGTATCTGCAGACATTGCCAAATGTCCCCTGCGGGAAACAAACTCTCTGAGAAAATGTAATTGTTTTTGCAAATAATTTAATGCTTCATCAGGAGCATTCGGCTTTTCTAAATAAACAAGAGAATTTCAGAATTGTAACATTTCTAAATTTTCTCTGAAGTTTATTGTGGGATACAAACTGTAAGTGACCTACAGATCAGATTATCACTAATGTCCCTCTTAAGCCTTCAGAGGACTTCTCGTGAGGTAAACATTAATAGCCTCTTTCAATTTAAGCCCTTCCATGTGCTAGGTAGAGTACTGAGCACTTCATGTTCATTCTCTCATTTTATACTCACGACGTCCTCATGGGACGGCTATTAACTCCATTGTAGTAAGAAATAATTTTAAAGTCTCTTTTAATCAACACATCAAAGTGTTTCCAGAAATACTTATTTATCATTCACTATATTCATTCTGGCACTAAACAAGAAGAAAATACCTTAACTTGTTTAGCTTACAATTAATTTATGATCAAAACATTTCAATATATCTAGCAACAAAATAATTGAATTACTAAAACCTTCAGGAACTAGGGAAATGTTCACAGCACCTAACAAGTCAGAGAAAGAACTATTATTTGTTTCCTGAAACATTTTTTACACTGTGGCATAATGAAAGAGTACTTTCTAAATTTTTCATCCATGATTCCCTGAGTACTTCCAGTAACTTTTTTTTCCCCTTTGCCCAACTTGCCAAAAAAATTCACTTTATAATTATTTGAGGATTTATTGTCATTTCAATGTGCCTTTCAGCAGAAATCGAAAGCTGGGTTCCAACCCCAGCTTGTCCATCTGCAGGAACTGAAGTCAAGTTAACCTATTAAGGCCTCAATTTCAACTATGCAACCTGCATAATAAGGTATCTCTGAAGGCCTTAAGAGTTAGTAGGCCCTCAACAAAAACTACTTTCCCCTTCCTTTCATCCTCAAAGCAAATTAAGTATCAGTTAAGGGCCAATTCCATTTCAGCATTTGTTTCGAGTCCACTAGCGACAGCCAAGGAAGGATGTGATCGGGCAGTCTGTCCAACATTACACACGGAACCACTTGGAAATCAACACTTTCAATCTCCCAAATCCATCGTCTCATACATCAGCTGAAGCCTAGGGACAATCCTGTACTCCCTAAGTTGAAGATTTTATCATTACTGGTACTGTTTCTCAAATAGAAAACCATACCATCAAATGCACTGAGTGCATGCATAATTTAGCACATATTTATCTATTGTCTTCTGTTTTACTTTTCTTTGTGGTAAGACACAAGAACTTCTCTTGCAAAGAAGTGTTCCTTCCTCTCTCCCTTCACCCACACAACCAACTGCCAAGAAATTTTGATTCATATTTCTCTCTAAAAGGAGGAAGATAAATTGGAGCCTTTCTTCTCAATGCCACAAGGCTGTGTGTATAATTCATGTATTTAGTTAACTGTCAGCCATCCAAGTGCATATTACACATTTTATGGATTACTCACAATTAAGTCATTTACTAATGAATGAAAGTTACTTAATTTTACCCTTGGTAAATATTAGGAAACCAAATGTTCAAAAAGAAACAATCACTGGGAATTAGATTATATAATCCACTGCTTCCCTTAAAGGCAAATAAAACAGAAGTATTACCCTAGAATTCTATTAATCAATGGATAAAATTCAACTTAATACAAGAATATTTTATTCCAGCTTAAAGTTTTAACACAAAATAGGACTTCACAAAGCTCACCCACAAGGTGGAACGAGGACACGATCTCTAAGACCAGATCTACTGGTAAGCTAGAGTATTACAAAGTATGTAATGAGGCTTCAGGTAAAAGCTGGTAATGTGAAAGTACGTCAGCATAACACTCATCATTTACCAAGATAAAATAAAAGTTCACTAAGTTCTTCCAGTTTAGTCTTATTTCCTTGAATATTTAGGAGGTAGTGGAGTTTTACAAAATAGTCAACTTCATTTGTTCTCAATTTACTGTCACTCTTCAGATACTGTACTTCATAGGCTAAATTTACTCATTTGTTCTTAAAATTGATTTCAAGAAATAGAATAAGAATACTTAAAAGTCCTCCAAAAATACCCTGGTCCTCAAATAAAATTTCAAATTCTGTAGCAATTAAGGGTTATCTGATAAAGTAAATTAACAAGCGTATCATTTATATTAATGATATAAAAAGCAAAACATAGAAAGAAATAAAAAGCCTTTCTGCCTGTGAATATATTTAAAAGATCAACTGAAACTAATTTTCAAAAACTTAAGTTTCCAATAGATACAAAGTCTGCCCATAATATGGTTTCTAGGTGTAAAATGTCGTCAGAAAACAAGCACTGTAAAGACCCCGAACCTCTAAATCCAGTGAATGCCAACACCAAAAAGAAAGCAAACACGTGGTCAAGAAAGTCACTAAATAGAGAGCGATGCCAAAGAAAACTGACATACCCTTTATACCAAGACAATTTCCACCTTCAAACCAACTTATCTATTGAGAGGGGAGTTTGAAATCAAGACAACTCAAACTAAAGCACTAAAAACTTACCTGAAAATGTCAACTCCATCCTTTTTCTTTCAATGCTTGGAAAGGCATAAAATCAAATTTCAGAAAACATGATGACCATTTCTTGTTAACTTTATTTTCTACTTGTTACCAGAATGAAATTAATAGCTAACTTTAACTAAATATTTAAAGGATCCAAACTCTTTACATATTCACTCGTTTAATTACTATCCTTATTTGACAGAAGAGGAAACTAAGGCACAGAGAAGTAACTTGTCCAAGGTAACACAGCTAAGAAGTGGTGGAGCCATGATTTGAATCCTATACATCCAAGATAAATTTAAAAACAGGAATGAAGTAGAAAAGGTGTAATTAAAATTTATTCCAAAACAGTATGCAAAATAAGAGTGTGGTAAGAGAGAACAAAAACATGAAAACTATAAATATATGTAGATACAAATGTAAATTACACATATCTCACCCCCAGACAAGTACTGTGGCACTATAATATTTGATTATGGTCACAGACTTTAAACTACATCAAACCGTAGCAGCAGTAGAACAAGTAGATAATTTACTGTCACTGTCCAAACGCTGCATTTTACGAGCTAAATAAAACAGGCCTTAATGTAAAGGGGCAGGGCAGCGGGGGGTAGCCCCAGCGGGAGTTGAAAGAAGCTGCTCTCTCCCTTAGTGGGTCCTCAGACCGGGCATGCGCTGCTGGGGGCCACTCCCTGGCCCCCCTCCCAAAGGAACAACCGCCACACTGCCCAATCGCCCTCGCAAGGGAGAGCCCACCACACTGCCCACCCCACCTCCCAAAAGAACAACCACCACACTGCCCACCCCACTTCCCAAAGAAACAACCACCAACTACCCGGCCCCACCTCCCAAAGGAGCAACCACCACACTGCCAACCGAAACTCCCAAATGAGCAACTACCACACTGCCCACCCAAACTCCCAAAGGAGCAACCACCACACTGCCCACCCAAACTCCCAAAGGAGCAACCACCACACTGCCCACCCCACTTCCCAAAGGAACCACCACCACACTGCCCACCCCACTTCCCAAAGGAACGACCACCACACTGCCCACCCCACTTCCCAAAGGAACAACCACCACACTGCCCACCCCACCTCGCAAGGGAGCAACCACCACACCGCCCGGCCGCACCTCCCCAAAGAGCAACGCGCTGCCACGGCGCCAGGCGGGGTAGTGGGGCCAGGCTCGAGGGGACGACAGGCCACCACGGCCTGCGGAGGAGCGGGCCGGCCTCGACAAGACGACAGGCCACCCTGACGGGGACGGGAGGCGCGCGGCGGCGGGGACGGCCTGCCCCTCCCCTCTCGGAACCGGGCAGCGGGGCCGGGGGGCGGGCGGAGAGAACTGCAGCACAGAGCGGCGGCCCGGCAGACGGGCGGCGGGGCCGGCGCGTGTCAGCGGACGCCCTCCCGCCGGCGACCCTGCCTGTCCGCCCGCGGCCCCGACAGACTCTCCCGCACCCCGCGCCCAGGCCCGACAGCCTCGCGGCGCTGCCCCGCGGCGGCCAGGTCGGGGCCGGGCCGGGCCGGGGCCGGGCCGGGCGGCCCGGCGCGGTGACAGGCGGCGCGGCCGCGGCGCTCACCTGACAGAAGCGTCGGCAGTAATCCCGACTGCTGATGCCGCCGCCGCCACCGCCGCCCCGGCCGCCGCCCGCCGCCCGCGGCCCCGCGGGGCCTGGCGGGGCCTCCACGATGGCCACGAGCTCTTCCCCGAGGCGTTCGGCCTCCTGGTCGCTCTCTTCCTCCGCCATGAGGCTCTCGCCGCCCAGCGCGTACCAGCC